ACCATCCGCCTCCGCCAATTCACTCGGCACTTCACCTGGCTGCCATGACTTTTCAAATATTATGGAGAGTGGCTTGGCAACGACTTCAGCCAATTCCCTCAGGACTCTGGGATGCATCTCATCAGGTCCCACAGACTTGTGTACATTCAGGCTCCTCAGGTGGTCTCGAACCTGATCTTCCCTTACCGTGGGAGGGGCTTTACCTCCCGGGTCCCCATCTTGTGGTCCATCGACTCGGGAGGGGTGAGGAGAGAGGCTGCCAGTGAAGACTGAGGCAAAGAAGTTGCTGAGTACCTCCGCCTTCTCCTCATCTGCTGATACTAGGTCACCATTCTTGTTCATTGCGGGGGTACGCTTTCCTTAACCTTCCTTTTCTGGTTGACATACCTGTAGAAGCCCTTCTTGTTATTCTTTACATCCCTTGCCAAATTCAACTCCAGCCATGCCCTGGCCTTCCTGACCCCTTCCCTACATGACCAGGCAGCTGGCCTGTACTCTTCCCAGGACACCTGTCCCTGCTTCCACTGCCTGTGCAGTTCCCTCTTGCTCTTTAGTTTGACCCGCAGGTCTCGACTCAGCCATGCTGGTCTCTTACCTTTCCTGCCTGATTTCTTACACTTGGGGACTGAGAGCTCTTGCACTCTATGGAAGGTGTCCTTAAAGATCTGCCAGCTCTGTACATGGCAATATGAGTAGTTTTCTAAGGGGTTCTAGAAATAAACATTTCTATTTATGTGGATATGCCACCAAGTTGAAAAGAAAGCCTGATTAAGTAAGTTTTATCTAGTCTGTGAGGATTCCACAGATTAATACGTAAAAATATATATTATGATTTTACCTCCAGATTAGTCAATGTCATTTCTCGAAAGACATAAGCAGGATTTCCTTCTTCTGAATGGCAGGTAATCTGGAAATTCCCATATGATGAGCTTCCCGATGGCTCTGGCCAGTACTGATGGCATTTAACCTAAGGTCAACACATTTTTAAAGATGCCTGTGTTTAAATTCACAGAGTATTATTTTCATTCTCTCTAGTTCCTTATACCTTTGTTCATTAAGGACTGTTTTGATCATTTTGTAATCACTATTAATTTACTTACCAAAGAGACTGTGTTACTTAATTATTGTTTATAAAACAAGGTATCGCAGAGATTTCCTGGTTCTGTTTTCAAGAGGACACATGCACCAGCTCTTACGGTTAGTTTAACTGAAGATGGATGACTTACACTGTTTTTAAAAATTGTCATGAAAGTTAATGTGTAACTATTCCACCTTAACACTTGAGTGACAAAGATGCTGCTTTATAAACATTTCTGACCTCCAAAATCCTAATCTAATCTTCTCAAAGCACATTTATATGGGAAAAGAACAAATTAAAAAAAAGGCGATAAGCAACAAAAAAAGTCGCTAAACTAATGCAGAAATTAGGGGGATGCAGATGGTGGACTTCAAAGACCCTTGATCAAGTAATCAAATGTGAATGAAAACTTGAAACACTAAGATTTCAGATATATGGCTTAAACGCCTAATTACAGAGGTCATTTCAGCTCAAGTGTACTTCTGTTTTTCCAACCCACCTGGCGATTTTTTAAGAGCAGCCAGATTTGCAGACTTCCTGCTCCACTGAGACAACCCGGCATGCAGTGGGATAGTGATGTCAGTAGCCTCATGTTCAGCTTTAGAGCAGGGAGTCTGCCTATGGGTATAAGACAGATAAGTCCTTTTATTTCATTATTAAGCAGCTCTCCAAAGAACTCCACAATTATCATTATTGAAGGGGTGAGGGAACCTCAGAGAACTGCAACTGCAAGTCTGTTCTTAGCAGATCTGCAAAGAAAACTCATATTAAAAGGGCACTTGTACTGAAATTCCCTCTAATCATGTTTATTTGGGAGCAGGCAGTATCATGCTAACATTGAGTCACTGAAAAATGGTTTAAAAATGCTGCAACACCCCTTCAGTTATTTTAATTATATTTAGAGGCTTGACCTCCCAGCAAATATATGGTTATTAAAAAGTTAGAATATATACAGCAGCTGAACTATAGTCTGAGTTGATCAGAACACCCACAATCTACAATAAATCCATCTTCAAAAGGAATCCTCAATGTGGAGAAATTCCACTAAACTATAATTCCAGACTGTCATTTCTGTCCACACACTCAGCCAGCCAGTGCTACTGTGAGTGCTCCAGACTATAAACTCAATAACTCTGTAATTACACTGTATGACCAGATTTGATTTTTTGCCTGTCTCCACAACAGACAAAGCTGCATAATAAACAAAGCTATTGAGAAACTACAGCTTAAAAAAAAAAAAAAAAAAAAAAGGAAAAATACACCACACAAAACCAAACCCAAACAAACCACAAAATACACCCAAGGCCTTTTACAGCACCATACACAATTATGTTTAGTAATTTATAACGCTAATTACTTTATTACTAGTACTGTATTTTTACACATTTTTAAATGGAAATGACAATGATTTTTTTTCATATGATTAAACAAATGTTTATAGCCACAGAAGAATGTTTTATGAAAAATTTTAGATTTCAAGCTTATGAAGGATTCTCTTAAAGACAGCCGTTCAGGCATGGGATCTTAACACTACAAAGCTGTGTTAGGCTGCCTTAAAAAATTAATCTCTACATATCAAAGAACTAATCTACAAAAACTGATGAAAACTCTTGGAGCTCCTTTATTTGAAGTTTAGAGAAAAAAATCCTATGAAGGTAAATTCTAGTTGCTTTTTACTTTACAATAAAGAATCAAAGAAGCCTAAAAATATTTTAAGAAATACATGAAGACTCCAATGTATTTCAGAACTGAATGAAGTGTAAATATTAGCTATGTTAACAGTATTTGAAGGTTTCAAATATAAGAGTCATCACTGCAACAGTACTAGGAATGCACTGCTCTTATGAAAAAAGTCACAGATTTGTAGAATAGTTGGGGTTGGAAGGGACCTTTAAAGGTCATCTAGCCCAACCCCCTGCAGTGAGCAGGGACATCTTCAGCTAGATCAGGTTGCTCAGAGCCCTGTCCAACCTGACCTTGAATGTTGCCAGGGATGCGGCATCTACCACCAATCCGGGCAACCTGTTCCAGTGCTTCACCACCCTCATCATAAAAAATTTCTTCCTTATATCTAATCTGAATTTACCCTCTTTTAGTTTAAAACCATTATCCCTTGCCATATGATATGTCATAACAGTATATTCCTCTAATCTTTTAAAGGCTAATCACCAACAGATTTTTAGAAGATTATGCAAGTACTATTTAAGGAAATCTTTTACTTACTCTGCCCCGTTCAACTTGAGTCGTTAACATTACAACCATAGATGAGCCTTGTTCCCAAGTCATCTGCCAAAAATCAGGACAAGTGTTCGGTAATGGACCTTGACAAGCAATGTACTGGTTTATTATTGTGGAAGAAGGGATTTCCATCTAAGAGAAGACAAAATCACTACTTTAATTCTTATAGCAAATGTAAGTCAGGCATCAAATACTTAGTGTTTAGTAACTAAGATATTAAAAATGCATCAACTATATTAATTCTCTTTATTAAAATATGGATTGGCACAGATAAAAATTCTTCAAAGTGTTTCACATGCAAAATCATTACAAAGAATCTCAGTACACTTCACATATTAACTGACAGTTACATAGTTGCCATAATCAACATTAATGGTCAAAAAAAGAAATGATAGACCAGTTAGCAAATAATTCAGGTGCAAACATTTCATGCTTTGTGGATTTTTGACACTAGCTTTTAAAATACTGATCTTGGAATTTAATTTAATCTCCCTTTTTTGTTCCTGAAAGGGGAAGTAAGTAGCTGTAATTCTATTATTACTGACAATGAAAAAAAACCCAAACCAACCCAAAACCAAAAAAACCCAAAAACCACCCAAAAAGATGTGAAAGGAAGTGCTGCCAGATCAAACCTTTATTGATGTTGAACACTACTGCCACATTAGTAATCAGAAAAGAACAATGAATTCTCTGGTAGAGGGCTAGCTTCTCTTAGCATCTTTTCTTTTTCTTAGTTTCATTTATAAAAACACCTGCCACAAAGCATTAGCAAGTAAGTACATCTACAGCAAATTTCAAATCATCTGACTACAGGCTTATCAGCCATTCTAGTCTGAGCCAGATTTACAAAAATGTTGGGTTTTTTTTAATCAACTTCTACATCAAAAAACTCAAAAACTACTTAATGTCGGAAGCTCTTTTGAAAAATACTACTCACATTTATATAATTTGCATTGATGTAATCTTCATTACTCTTTAAAATAACCCGTGTAGCATCATCTGAAAAAATTTTTAGAAAAATGTTACTTACATACTAACCACAGTAAAATACTTTTAGAACACATATACAAACACACATACTTACAAGGCGAAATGTCTCTGTATCTATTTTTGGAAATGTTTTGAGGTAATCTGGCACAAGACATTGTCATTCCAGGCTTTTTCCTATACAATTGCTAAGAGACAAAACCGATGGTCAGACCATAATAGATGCAAAAGACCTGTTAGTATATTATTTGCCTAGAGGTGCTTTTTAGAACAAACTACGGAGCAATGGTAGCTTCAATACACACGAAAACACTTTTCAAAAGAAAGCACAATGAATTTAGTTATGCTGTGGGATCACTGAAAATAATCAAGACATCGTCACAATTCGTTTAAAGACAAACTGAATGTTAAATTTCAAGCTTCCGTAAGAACAATGACCCAGAGAAAAGTCAGTGTTGTATACTGGTAAGGCGATTGACTAACAGACATTGCACACAGTGATTTGGGGCAAGCAGACTGTGTTGTGTACAGGCATCTACCTACATTGCAGCTGTTTCACTTCCTGCCCCCCGCCCTGATGTCCTTCCTTATTTCAATAACTGGAGAGCAAATCCTGGGCTACCTCTTACTTTTTCTGCACAAAATCTCCTTTGAGAGGTTCCTGCCCTCTTATGCCTTAGTCATATATTGCCACAACCCTTGTGCCTGCAAACAGTATCAGGTTCAACAAAAAGCACTTTAAAAAATTTTAAACACTGAACCTGTTTGGGAGACTGAAAATGTATGGTTACAGAGGGATTTTAAATAACTTTGAGAAAATCTTTTATTTTTGTATATAAAAGCAAATTTTACCAAAGTTCTTGAAGAACAGTATATAAATATATTTTTAAAATATATGTTGCAATACGTAATGCTAGGTCTCCATTTGGTGAGGAATTCACAGAATTCACACTGCTGTTTTATAAACCTACCACTTCCTGCTTTAAGTCACTTGATCTCATGCATAAAGATGGAATATCATCAAGGCACAAGTTAGTGCTAAAGAAAGACTATCGCTACCAACAGCTTAGGACCCCACAGGAAGTGCACTGTTCTTTCGAAATGTGTCATAAAAAAAAAAAACAACGATTTATAAAAGACTTTGTTACATTAACCCTTAAGATTAGGGTTGTATTTTCCATTGGTAATTATACCTTCCCTCATTGAGACTGTCCATAAAATGTCAATGGCTCAGCTGTCATTCAGTTTCTACAGTAACTTAGATATGGAATGAAGGTCTGAGTACAGAACACATGTTTTGGTATACATTTTTCCGTCTTCATCTTTATCAAAGTATTTTATTAGCATAGGTCCCTAATAATCACAAAAAGTTGTAAGTAATCAGTAAAGCTATTTGTAACGAACAACACTAAACACTAGTTATTAGGATTATTCTATGCTGTAAGTTTATACATACAATACAGGATTGGATTTTTTTGTTATTTTTCTGTTGAGAGTATAAGACAATTGTTTTGCCAAAAGACGCTGACTCTACTGAAATTTAACTGAAATCTGCTCTGCTTAAAATAATTACTATCCCAAAAGACTTGGAAATTGCACACAGCTACAGGCAACACGGTACTCACATCGAACTGAGCCAAAACGGTTCCAGTGATAAGCCCCTCTGCTAGCTGAATCATGGATTCCCTCAGAGCATTATCGTCTTGATGGACACCATCAAGTGGAGATTTCTCAGGGATGTACTGGAAGTCAGGCTCACTCTCCAGCTTCTCTTCCACAACATCATAGACAGCTGTGACAAATGTATGAATGCTCTGACTGAACATGCTGTTTGGCAAGTAAAGTTAACTCTAAGTCATTTAGTTAAAGCAGCACAAAAGACAAGTGTTTTTCCTGTAGAAAAATCCACATTTATTAATACACTGATTTGAGTCCCCATCAGCAAGGGCAAGTAGCCTTTACTGATCATTATAATCTATGACAAAACTTTTTTTTTTTTTAATAGTAATTTTAAGTGAAAGCACACTACCGCCTGCTAAAATTTTGGTCAAGACTCATGTTATACCCTACTTTTTCTGATGTAACTCCCTAATCTCAGATTCTCACATCATGCCTCTGAAGTCAGTTTAGTTGCATTTACATTTTTACTTTTAATTCACTTTGAACTGATTTTAGGATTCAGTAATTAGGGCAAGATGTGCAGACCACCTGAGAAAATGGCATTAATATATGCCATTACAATGCTATCAATGCTGTACATGTGCCCTGCCTAGAAATAATCTAAAAAAATAATATACACCTTCTACTACACATGAGAGAGACATATGCCATTCGAAAGCCTGTTTTTAAATGATATCCCATGCCCATGGAGGAGGAAACTGGCAATTCCTCACTTCTACAACTCAAATGTTTTTATCCAGAATACAAAGATAATCAACACACAAGGGAAAACTGGTTTAGTAAATTTGTAAACAAAGCTAACAATTTTATCTGAAAAATGAAGGAAGCACACAAAAGCTGCAAGAGAACTTACACACAGAATGGCAGCACAAGTAAGTGGGGTGTACAAATAAGTGAATGAAGGAAAAGTTGTTTATGAGGTGGCTGAGGTACTCTCCTAAAGTAATTTCAATTATTCTGATTAAACATCATTATTCTTATTTTGCTTTTTCCACTGCAACGGTATTATAATTGGGATGTGCAGCGGAATTAAATCCAGTGACCATCTGCTGGCAAAGCTCCAACAGTGTATTTCATTAATATATTGCACAAGCTGTTACTTAGACCGCACTTTTAGCACTTTGTTCTATTAAGCCCCCTCAAGCAGAAAAAAAAAAAAATCCAGTCGTTCTGGATTGTTTTAAAAACATAGGGGAGGATTTCGCATAAATCGACCTCCAAAGTCATCCAAACGCTGGGTGTTTCATGAGGGGTTTTTTGTTTGTTTGTGGTTTATTTTCCTTAAGGGAATAACAGCAACCTCAGAAACTGCATTCAATATCCACAGCTTTCTGGACATTTTTATCAATATGAGTGAGAACAAAATTTAAATTAGCTCTCTGTCAGAAATATTTGATCTCTGACTTTCCTATTAATTTTCAACACCTAGTTATGCACAGCTCCTTAAGAGCATGGGATTGATCAACATTTGTACAACACATTGTGTTGTTGCAATTCCTTTTCAAGGAAGAGAGTTCCTTCTTACAATGATGTTAAGCATTCCAGCTCAGGACACAAACCAGAGGTTAGGAAATTAACGCAAGGTGTGGATTTTTTTTTTTTTTAAATTATGTACAAATCACTCACCATTGGGTCGAACTAGAAGCACAAGTTCCCCTGAGTGTCTCTCACAGCTAGCTTTAATAAACATAACAACTTGATCATGGGTATGTTCTGCTATATCCCTGCCGTTAATCAGTACAACCTGGTCCCCTTCATTCAAACGAGGGACACAGAGATCAGCCTGCAAGGTGGGGGGAGAAAAAAAAAAAAAAAAAAAAAATTCTGAAAAAAAAGCCATTTCCAATTTCTCACCTTAAAATAGCAACTTAAAGTAACTATACTTGGGGACTTGAATCCTAACAGCCTAGTTGCTATGGTTGCTGCGTTGTATTCAAATGATAAATTTACGTGTTACACAATATGTAAAGCGGTGCCATTCACATGAACAAATCAATTTGAAACTGGGAAGTGACTGTCATTGTAACATGTCTTTTGGCAGCTGTTACTCCACTCCTCTGGTTGAAGTAGAAAGCTCCTCTGTTTGAATCACATTTTGTATAGCCAATTAAAAAGCAGAATGTTCTTATCTTTAAAGGTAAGGGAGTAACATGGCAAAGCCTTGTCCAAATCAATTTCACAGGTTTAAATGCTTCAGGTGTGATATATTGCAACTGTAATGACAAGAGTAAGACAAGGACCAAAGACAATGCACAAATCCCAGTAATCCCAGAGAGAGGCATCGGGTAATAAAAGTCATTATTATAATCACAGGCTAAACGTCATTGCAGAAAATAAAGAGCACATGCCATCACCAAATATCTTCTCTTTAGAGAGTGGATGTTTAAAGCATTCAACCAAAATTATTTATGTTATTAAATATTTCAGAGATAATAATTAACAGGGACAAGAACAATGCTCTTGGCAAATATTTTAATAGTTTCAAATAGTCAAAAAAAAAAAAAAAAAAAGCTGTACTTCTTAAATGTTAGCAAATAAATGGTTCACTCAACTCTAAAAGGTATAAACAGAGCTCACTCCAGTCAGCTGAATACCAGGTCAGTATTTTTGGCAATCAACTGACAAAATATTGTGCCTAGCTTGAAGACACTATTGATAGTTACTAAACACCAGTAACAACAGACAATCAGACCTGATGAATGATTCATGATGTCTGATTTTAATCTAAATCTTGGCTTTATTCAGCTACATCTGTCACTAAAATAACAGAGATTTGCTATTTTAGTTATTTTTAACATACTAAAAGACTCTTTCAATATATAATTTATGTGAAATCATATGAATGCCTATATTTAAAAAATAGAGTAAATGTCTTTTTAGCATGACACAGCTCAAGAAACAGTACATACTGAACCTCTGAACTCCCTGTAACTTTCAGGAATTAGATTTTGTTTCAGTAATAAAAAAATATTTTTGAGGATTGAAGAACTTTTAAAAATATGTTATGTAGCCCCACCAAATTCTTACTGCACATAATTTGCTTTGTTAGGATAATGGTATATAGCACAAACTAATTTTCATAGGCAGCTACGAAATAATTTACAGTTTTGCATACATACTTCAAGAAACACAGATATTTCCTACCAAGTTTGGTTTTTTTGATAACTTACAGGTGTTCCTGGAGCTACCCTGGACACTATTACAGGCATCTTCTGATCGTATCCACCCTTTAAAAACAAATTAAATTAGTAATAAATCACAAATATCAGAAAATAATCTTAATAGACATGAAAGAAATATATGTACTGTTACCTTTACATTGAAGCCAAACCTTCCATTTTCATCTGGTTTCATTCTGATCATAACAAGATTGTCATGGGGGACACCACCATTGGGCTAGTAAACAAAAATTATATTATATTAATATATATTTTGTTCATACTTAGAGTTTGAGGATATTGTATGTAATAATTCTGCAGTTTCCTCATCATTGCTCCTGGATGCTTGAGAAAACATTAAGCAATATTGCAAACATCTTATCCTGAGTTTTGCATAGAAGGGAAAATTTACACATTTAAAAATCTTGGACGTAACTGAGTTACAAGTGTGCTCTGTCAAAGCAAGCTCAAAGTAAGAAACAGTATTAGAAAAGACTAATTGGCTTCAAGCAGTCTTAAGAAAAACAGTTTACTAGATGGAAACTCCTTAAATTCGTCTTAATTAAGACCACAGTGAAAAGCCTGCAATAAGAATGTAAAATGGTGAAAAATAAGGTAATTGAAAGTATATTTTTGTTTCTATTAACAGCAATATGACGGTAGTAAGCAAGGACAAGTTTGGTAACAAAATCTTGGTTCCATATCCCGTATTCCATTTCCAGTGTAGTGGAGTATGAGGTGCAACACATGCTCTGCACCGATCAAGCTCTGACAATTTTAGCTGCTCGCTTTCTGGTTTGATTCTGATCACACCACCACTGTTAAAGAAACTACAAATAAACTGGGGAATACTAGATACTATTTTAATCTGGAAAAATCAACTTAGTGCCATTGAAGGGATTTTTAGTTTGTTCCCGTCAATATTTATTTCACAGACTGACCATTAGCTAGTATTTCTATAGTTTCTACGGTGAGGATGCAAAGTATTATTAAAGAAATTTGTTTCAAGGAAGTTTTCAATGTTACTAATTATAGCCAAAGCATAAGACTCATGTTCAGAAAGGAAGAAAACAAAAAACCCCACTTCTTAAAGCAAACATTTCTATATGTAAGGAAGTTCAAAACCTGCAAGTTCAATAGGTAAAAGAAGTCTGCTCAACTTGGCTCATAGAAAGTTAACTCAGCTCTTGGTTAAAACAAAACACACACTGCCCCCCCCCTAGTAATGAAAAGATGAAAAATTTGGGGAAGGAGAGGAAGGTAACAGTGTAAGGTATATTAATGAGAGGGAAGGTTGCTTAATAAGCCTGACCATACCAAATCATTTTAGCCTATGTTCACTGGCTCATGTTCCTGGGCAGAATGACCAACCACCAAGCGCTCACCTGCAGTGTTTGGCAACTTTTGTGTCATTGCATTCCCCAGACAAAAAGGGAATAATTATTTCCTGCTTTAACAGGCTATTTTGAGCAGCAGTTTATAATGAAAAACCTGAAGAGACCACTGTATGTCATCATTAACCTGTTTGACTGAAGGGACTCCTGGCTACACCTGTTTTCAAATACTTCCAGACATTCTCAGACTGGATACTTAGGGATTGCAGAGTAAAGAGTTGTCATGCCCATACCTGTCCTACTACCTTTCTAAACAGATTCTCCATACATACAATAGATAAAGGAAATTCAATAGCTAAATGAAGTCAAAATGGCAAGGGGTCTTCCTTAAAATATTGGAGACGGAGCAGCAGAAGAGACTTTAGTAGTGCAGGAACCTGAAGTGCATTCTGGTCAGAAAAGCAACTTTGAAGGTAAAAGAAAAGAAAACAAAACAAGCAAAAAACAACCCCCAAACCCAACCCCCAACACATTCCAAATACTAAATTTACAATTTCACAAAATTTCAGGGTCATGCTGCATTCCTTCTTCTCCAATACCCAAAATAAAAAGCCATCGGCAGACCAAATGAGATCTTCAATTACAACAGTGTACTGCCTTAAGCAAGGCTGCATGAATGTGGCCCGTTGGACCACAGCAAATTGACAATGCACAGAGAAAAAAGAATCTCATTCTCACGCAGCTGTGTTGGTTTTGCAGAACTAAAAAAAACAACTGAGAGTTATTTTTGTCAATTTGGTAAAGATAACTGAATACAGAGCAGTAAAGCTTGATGAGTAGTTTTATCTTTCAAAACAGAACAGTACTTTAATATGACTCAGGTAAGCACTGACAGAAGACAAAGCTGTTAAAAATTGTTTCATTATTTGATTAAAGCAAAATTTTTTCACAGCATTCCCAAAATGCTCATAAATTTACAAGTTTCACTTTTGTGTGTTTTATTATTAAAGCCCCAGCTATGAAATTAAACATGGGTTTTATGGGAATCTTGACTTTGTAATGAGGCCTGAGAGAACACCCTAGGCCTAGAGTTCAGAATGCAAATAAAAATAAACCAAAGACTTTTCTAAAATTTCAATTTGGGAGATGACTCGTAATTTCAAATGTCTGAGGTTGGCAAAACTGTTTATACAGTATTGTTACGTCTGGATGTTAGACAGTTTTCCCATCCTGCAAAATGTTTCTTGTCCCGCATCAGTATAAAACCAAGAACCATTTGAAAACTTCTGGAAGGACAAAAATCACAAAAATAGTCAGCAAGATCTCGCCTCAGTCAGACAACCATCAACTGACTAGCTTACTCATTTAGCACGTGCTTTAAGTGTGGAAGAAGAACTTTTGCTCAGATTTTTACATTCGTTGTCACAGGTCTCTTGGTAGAGTCTCCTTCCTAGAAATTGTGATGAGAAATGCAACCACAGATTCAAGAAACCTCTCCTGACAAAACTGCTCTAGAAGCTGGTAGGCACTTTTAGTTTCGGCTTTTTGATAAAAGCTAGGTTACACACCAATGGTAGTGTCTGCAATATCTTCTTTAAAATTGATGGTAAATGACTTCTCAAAGAAGAGGTTAATTAGAAATTTATGCATGTGCTGAAAAGCTAATGTCCAAAATGTTTGCATATCCATCCCAGTGTAGTAGTTTGATGACAACTGGCAAAGGACTACTCCAGCAGGTGGAAGAAATAATGTGAGCTAGCAAAGAGGCAGTATGTATAATGGAAATGCTGTAATGTAATGCACAAACACAACAACTCTCTGAAATGCATCAAAACCAAGCTCATGAAAAGCATAACTATCACTCCGATAAAAAGCAGAATGGTCAAACTGGATCCAAAAACTTACTGTGGATTTTTCAGGTGATGCAGGAACATCAAATGTTTCATTAATATGGTTATCCAGTTCTTGCTGTGAGTGTGAATGATGAATCTGGTTCCAACTGTTCTTTTTAAATTGTTTGGGTGGTAACGCAGGAGGCTGCCCATCTATAGGAGTCTCTTGAGATCTAAATGCCAAAGTAGAAGTATGAAGTGGAACAATCATGAGATACTGACAGTTCTTTCAGGGTTCCAAATAAACTGAAAACGCTAGAAGAAACTCAGGAAGCTTGAAAGCTGAATATCTGTATGTATTTTTAGAATCTCAGAAATGTACTGTGGTGGAATATACTGGCAGTGCACGTTTGGACATGTTACTGCTTTTTTCTTGACAAGCAACTGTACACAGAACCAGTTCATTTTTTACACGACTTTTTTTTTTAAAATGGTTTTAGCACTCTTAACTGACTTTATACTGGAATATTATAAAATTCACTGTATTTATACTCTGCATTCTTGCTAAAAAAAAAAATCATTTCTAAAATAGATACTTCACTTAATATGTTTTTCTCTGTAAGAAAACCAATTAGTTTGCATCTTAAATTAATGCCAGCAATTTAAATCTTAAAAACAGACACAAGCAGCATAAAGCGCTCCCACACTAGTTTTTGGGTTTTGATCTAAAAATAGGAGGAGTGCAAGTTGAAGACAACCCAACTGTACCCCTACATTTATTTGAAAAGCCCATTGGAGATGACTGTTAAATTTTAATTTTTCAGTTTAAAAGTGTATGTATACATTTCAAGAGAACCTTGGTTTTCTTCCCCCCTCTCGAACATATTCCCTTTTGAAACATGAGCAGCTTTGAAACATTTGTAAAAATGGCATTCATCGCATGCATTTTTTAGTTGAGTTATAACACCATTACTGAAGATGAAATAGCAGCAAGTTCTATTTCTGTTTTAGATCTGCAAGCACTCTACTCTAGATTAATAAAAATGTTCTCTGTGTTTATGTATAATATGGATAATTTCCTTTATTAGTCCTTTTGGAATAAAAGCTTAACTGTATAATTTGTATTACATAAATATGATTCATCTTTCATTATATGGCTTTATATTTAAGAATTAAGAAGAACATTTTGAGAGGCCCAAAAGGGCAGTTAGCACATAACTCCCATTAACTTCGTTTGAATGCCAGTGTCTAAATACCAGCGAGGATACATGCCTTCCTCCCCATGAACCACATTAAAAGGTATTATTAAGTAATTTAAAGACTTACGACAACAGCCCACTGATACTAGCGGCAAATCCCAAAACCACCCAGAACGAAGTTACAGGTTACAGCTAAATCTAGAGAGACCACTACCAACCAATGGGTGCCTCCGTTCTTCCTTTCGCCCACACTCATGGCCCCTTCCTTGAAGCACTCCAGTACTCCTCCCTTGGCTAAGGCAGCTTACCAAGCAAGAAAAAATACATTGACTTTTTGGATAAGCCTCGGTAGCAATCTGCTGGTTCAGCAAGGTGAACTGGTTCATCCCAAGGTCGACCACCATGTGGGGTGGGAAGTACACTCCCAGAAGCCAGAAACAGGACACTGCCCCTTTCAGTATCGGCAAGCTCGGAGCATAACATCCCTCTAAAAAGCATGGGTAACCACGTGAGTAGTCCTACTGTATTTAACTGGTCTAGCCACAGTAAACGGTTAGCAGGGTAGGACTCTCATTATGACACAGCGTAACATTTCAAGTTGCTGCAAGTTAGAAAACCTAAGGCATACATCAAATTCCATACTGTATAGTTTGTTTCTACACAATTAAAGGCAGGCAGATACCAGGTACAGGTTTTCAAATAAAAACAAAACATCAGATCACGGTTGTCTACAGTGATTTCAAATAAAGGATGAACCTCTGTCAAAAAGAATGAAAATTGAATGGGAAATGGAACACTTCACTTCGAAAACCCACATATTTTCCATTTCAGTTTTAAAAAATTTAGTCAGTTTTCTTTGAAAACAAACTATTGATAATTTTGTCAATGTACGAAAACAGTACATTTGAAAAGGTCCTAACAATATTTTTTGTATGTTTTTGCTTATTTTCAACTTTCAGAAAACAATTTTTTTTCAGGCAGTATTAAAAGAAAAAAAAATACTAATTATTCAGTATCTGATGTCTGAAGAATCTCATGTTCAAAACACACTAGGGAATAAAAATAACATTTCTTAACACTTTACAATGCAAGTGAAAAGAGCATATCATCCTTATATTTTATTTTTCAGGATAAGCAGCTTTTCTAAATTCATTTTTTTTGTGAAGAAAGAGAAAAATATGATGATTGCCAACATTTGCAAAACGAATTTTCAAGGCAGCTATAAATTATTTAGACATTGACTTACAAAGGTCACACAGAGCTTCTTAACTGCCTATGTATTTATTCATTCAAGTCTGGCCAGCACAGATTATTCAGCCTTTTAAATGAAGGGCAACATAGTTATGTATTTGCCTGCAAACAATTACTCCTGAGAGTTTAAAACGGAATAAAAAAGGAACAGAAAACATAAACAGAGACCCAAAAGAAGTCATTCCGATAAAAGTAAAAGATGGGATCCTATGCTTGATTAGATGTCTGTACATACACGTCAACAAACACAAATAAATTCCTACTGAACATACAAACTTAGAGAAAAGATTTGAAAAGTTACTTAAATGAGCATTTTAGAAGCAGCGACGCAAGTACTGTAATATATTAGCATAATGAATTGTGAGAACTAACAATCAAGCCTTGGGCAAAAACTTCATTGCTTTATATTTGCCCAGTCAGCTTTGAATTTCCTTATGAATGCTTAGACAATGGCAGTGAAAGCAGCCTATTTTGCAGGCAAAGCAGCTCTCTGTAACTGCATTCAGCAATTTACATAATAATAAAATAACACACAAACCCTGGCACTGACAAGCTTTGGGTATTTTTGTTACAGATATCCGGTCTAACCTTTTTATGTATTACGCAAAAGTTTCATACACAACCCCATAAATTTATTAAACTAAACACATTATCACGTGCTTTTGTAATTTATAATTAACTTGGGGAGCTACAAGCAGAAGTGTCTCAATTTAGTTTTGAATAGCACATGCAGATGAAGAAAAAAACGTGGAATTAAAGGTTGTATTAGCTAGGCTAATGCAAGCTAAGCTAAGGATACTTCCTTCTAAAGTGCACTGAAACTCGAATTTCTTTTGCTATGTTGTCTCCAAACTCAAAGAGATCACTAAACCTACTGCCTGTCAGGTTAGCCCCTCTGATTTTCTTACATATGTAAATTTGATCAATAAATAAGACTTTCCAACGATTTAGCAGATGCACTACTCGAATCTTTTCACTCAGAAAGGTCAAATTGTTTAAGAAATAGCTTTTTGGACTGTAAAACAATATCGTTTTAAATTATATAGCTAATATGAACTTCATAACTACTGCTTTCTTTCGTAAACCTCAAATCTTGAATCAGTAACATCACCTGAAACTTTCAGAAGACCCTAATAAGGTTCATGTATTTTTGACCATCAACATCCTCATTCTTAAAAATATCTTATGCTAGATATTTATACTGGGAGATTAAATTTCACTTTTAAGCTTCCAACAAGGGAAAAAACAAAAACAAAACCCAAAACATAGTGATGGAAGAGGATTAGTCTTTCTGCTTGAGCATAAAAAGTGCAAAATCATGAAAAAGAACAGCCATAGTTGCGTAACTAATTTACAAAACCACTTCCTCTCTTTTTAAGACTCATTTCTATGGTGACTTATACAAGAAATCAGGTATTAAATAAACAAATCCCAAGGACACTGAGGAACATCTTTTACAACTTAGAGTAAAGGCATATGAATAAAAGAGAGTATTTAAGAATTGTGCTTACTTCACTATCACTACCATTCAGTAAGTGTTTCTGATAACTGACTTCAGCTGGAAGTCTTGGAACAGAAGGAACCTGACCCTGGGTGGCCTCTGTAGAGCAAAGCTCTGATATGGGAAAAGATTCACAGTTCTTCCAGTTTTGAGACTCCCTTGCCATGTGAATAGGTTAAAAAAGCCCACCAAAAAGGGGGATTTTATATTATCAGGCCAAATTACTGGTTTATAACTCTGAAAGCTAAATAACGAGCTGATGGTCAAATTATAACTATTGTACCCTATCATAAAAATTGTCTTGTGTTATTTTACAAAACTTTAAAAATTTTGTGTTCTAGTTCCCTCCCCAAAGTTACACAGAGTTGTTAAAACTGAAGGTACAGTCCAAGCAAGTTTTTAAAATTGTGTTCAAATACCTTCCCAGAATAATTTTTCCCAAAACACACAACGTGTGTAATTATGTATGTGCTATTTTATAGTTCTCAAATGGTTTTGAAACCATTTGCAGAATTTCCTTGCTAACAGAGATTATACAGAATTATAAGGGCAAGTTTAGCACTACATGTATAGCTACATATAAGAAGGTACAGTGGCAGTGTTAACAAGGTGTATATTGTGCACCTTGTTTCCCCCCAATTAATCTGTACTCTAGCCACAAGTTATTGAGTATTTCAAATCTTTGAATAACTCAATGTGTTTTTGTTTGTCATCCTTCTGGACTTAATACACAATAATAGTTTTTATTTTGCCCACCACAGCATAGTAAACTAACAGTATCAAGAACAGTCAGCATTACAGAACAAAAAAAACCTGATAGTGCTATCCTAAAAAAATAAAAATATACTCTATAACAATATACAAAACATACTAGGAACCTCAGAATGCTGGGGTGCTAAAAAGGTTTTTTGGCTAAGTAATTTGTAAAGCTCACTCATACTTCTGTGCCTTGACAAAAAAGCAAAATTTCCCAACTCATGGGAATTAAAAACTTTATCACAAAACAACATACTTCAGTTCTATCAAAAAAATAACTTTCGCTTCCACATCCAGACACTGATGGTCACATTACAGCAAACCCACATTTTGGGTGGGTGAGCGGGGGAGGTATTATAATCCTGCACCAGGAACACATCAGATATAGGTCTTTACTTCTGTGTCATTTATTTTTCAAGACGACCTATACTAATACTCCCTAAACAACAGCTACCTTTATCAGATTTTCTGGCTCTCCTTGACCCAAACATTTAACACTGAATTCTTAATGGTGAAGATTTCCAAGTTCAGAAGCCCTGCATGCTACCATACAGTAACAACCAACAGAACTTACGGTGATGATTCCAGTATGATGCTATTAGCCTGGGTGGAAGATGGAGATCTGTGATTTACAAATACTTCACTTGGGGAAGTGTGAACTACATGGTCCACTAAATGTCCAACTGATGAGGGTCGTAACCGGGCTCCTTCTTGAGTGAAGGCAGAGTTGCGACTAAGAGGGGAAGCATAGCAGTGGAATGTGAAAAGAGTATTATATTAATCTACATTTTTTACACCATTACAAAGTAATGCTAAAATAATTATTTCCTCTCAGTGCAAGCATGTGTTTATATACGTATTTTTATTAAATAATTGAAGGTTTCAAAAAAATCACTGAAACAATTATGTTGTCAGATCAACATGCTATATTTCATAATTTTCTTTTTAAAAGTGTTCAAAAATATTTTCATAAAGACTAAATGGCTAATTTCTTTTTTTTTTTAAATTAAAGAAGCCTGAAAGCATTATGGTCCAATGAACAGGCTACTGGACTGACAGTCCAGTCAATGAGAAGAAAAATGAATGCCCAAGAAGAAAAATCCTGGCTCTGTTCATGGCAGAACTTAACCTGAATTAAGATGAACATTTTATCCCCTGAGTCTTCTCCTAGAAGAATCGTAAGCTTTACACTGAGAGTCTTAACATTTCTGTGACTCAAAATTTTCCCACTTGAAAACTAGCCTAGTGACATAAGTGTCTGTCTTAAAATGCTTTGAAACATGCATGATTATGTTATGTTATGCTATAAGCATCATTATTACACAATTTTTACAATAATTTTTAAATGCTACAGATATTTACAACAACAGTCTTTTGAATAATATGCTGTAATGCCAAAGAATCTTAAAATCCTCCGGTTTATGCAATACAAAATTGGATAATACCGATTCTTAAGCCAGTTTCAGCACACTGAAAAAATTGGTTATTTTCCAAAAGAAATCAGGAATGATTTTTCACTAACTATAAACATAAACCAGAAAGCTTTATCATGTGAAAAGAGAGAGCTTTGAAAGGAAATGCAGAAAAATTGAGGGGAATAAACCTGCAAGGATTTCTGATTAAGTAATTTTCCCCAATGTTTTAAGAAGTGGTATTAACCAGAATCAATTATTTCTAAAAGATCACACAGATTTTATCATCAGTTTCTTTCTTAGCCAAATGAATAATTTAATTTTAACTGTGCTTGAGAAAACTCAAGCTCTCGAATTTAGGGTAGTGTGCTACTTCTTTATACTTTTTATAGGTTGAGTGAGAAGCACCTAAAATTCTGGAGGTAAATGTTCCAGAGAACCACTCAGCACATAATTTGTGACGTTCTTTGCCTCCATAACACATTAGAGGCAGACAGTCACTTCTAGGGAGAGAAGATTTGGTGCTACTTACTGATTTGGGGTTCCAGGTGGAGACCGTGATGGTAGGCTCTGTGTTTCCAACCTATCATCAGACAGTGAGTTCCTACTCACTACTTCCCAGTCCATCCCACTCATTAATTTCCGTGCCAAGGGTTTACTGGGGGATCTAGAAGAAGAAAGTCAAGCAACTAACCAAAAATTATATGAGGTAAGAACAAAATTACATAAAATTCACCACAATGAAACTGATGTTCTATTACAGGAAACCAAATTATATGGAAGAAAGAAAATGTAATCATGCAAAACTACATTTACATGGGCAGTTCCGTATTTTCTCAATATATTGTACTTCATTTTCTGTACTTTGTACAAGAATGTCAACGAAATACAGTCATAAAATAGTGTTGCTGGGGAGGGAGACAGGCCAAGATGGAAGAGGAACCCACTAAACTTCACTAAGCATTTCTAATGCTTCAAAGAATCTGACTCAAACAGAATAATCATTGAGAGGTTTGAACTTAAAAATAAAAAAAAAAAAAAAAAAAAAAAAAAAGAAAAAACCCAAACAAACAAACCAACCCCAAAGAACCCCACAACAAACCTCTAAGTAACAGAACTATTTGGCCATCTTGGGAAAAATAAAGCAGTGGAAACATCAGCCCAAAAAAACTCCCAAAGACTTTGAAGAACTGAAAGTGGGGTAATCATCAGCATGGCAATGGAGCTACTGAGTTCTGTTTACTCATCAGGGATTTCCATCAAGGTGACAAGCTTTCTTCCAGAACATGTTTTGTCACCTGAAAGGCAGATGCAACCATCCTACTTAAACTTCTTTGTGGGTAACCAAACTTCATTTGGTTTTGTGCCAGAAATGTCCTTCAGGTTAAAGGTTATCGTCACCAGTGTTTTTATACAAAAGGAATTGTATTTTCTACTCGTTGCCCTTTCTCGATATTGAGGAAACTTTTTCTTCTCATTATCCAGTCATCCCAGGATACCTACAAGCCCCTTCTGCTGTTTCTTTCACCTATCTCTTAAGCAAAAATGAGAACATACTTGCAATCTCTCATGAAATACTGCATTTCCTTTTTATACTGGAAATCATCAAATGAATCATCCAAAAATTGTGGTTGCTTTTTTCTTAGCATCACATTGGATGGTTCATCCTGCAACTAAACATACCCAGACTTTTGTTGTTGTTTTCAACTGAGAGTTCTTTAGCCAACAACAAAAGTTCTTTTGAACAATCCTTAAATGTCCTGTGTATTTTGTGTTACTGGATTTTTACTTTACTTCTACTACTTTGATGGTGCTATATAGTTCAAATTTCTCCTCTATCATTACCCAACCCTCTTTCGTTCCAGTGATACCTCAATTTTATCAGCCTTTTATGCCATGATCATTTCATTCCCATTTGCCTTTATATTCTATCACTATACTCTTGTCTATTCTCCAGCTTTGCACAATGAGGTGACAACATATTACTGTATCAGAATATCTCCTTCATTTCTTTCCCCAGCTCCATACACCCATATCACAAAATAACTTCTGCCTTTGCTGTCCTTGGGACACATGGTAACTGTTCTTTATCTTCATCATTATCATCTTACTGATTTACTGAAAGTGCAAGTCCAGAAAGAAGAAACTTTGAGAAATTAAGGAACTACCCACACATAAATTACATCCTTCTGAAAATGAACACCTTAGTTACAAATACATTTTTGCTTCTCACGGAACTTGAAACTCAATCCAAGCCACCACCTTACACAGACTGTCCTCAATATTATCAAAAAAGTCTACAACAATAACCACCCAAGAGCCATATCAAATAATCTATCTTCACATACAGAAATACATAAGTCCTACTGATGTCAACAGTGTTTGCTTGATAGTAAAGGAGTGGTGATGTGTGTGTGGAGGGTTTATTTTTGGTTTTACACCCCCAAGCAGCTCTGAACATGTATTGCATGCTGTTTTACTGCTTTAAAGACTTACTGAATAACAGCTGACAAATTTCAGACTGTTAAGCGAGACAGGCTGTTCTAAATACTACTGTTTCAGGTCTTATTCCACCTGGGAAAAACATCTAATAGCATATTGATATTTGAAAACAGGGAAAGTATCAATTTTTTAATTCCTGAGGAAAAACACATCCAGTTTCTTAGCATGCTTCACTGTATTTAAGCAGTATTAATTTGATTCAAGAAGTAATTAGCTTGATACCATGTCAATTAAACCAACATTTCAATTTCTGTAATTTGCTTCAAATGTGAGCAACTCAAACCACTTCTTTTTCTTTACAAACATAGCAAATTTGAGCAGTCTGAACAGGTAAAATAACAAGAAACTAGCAGAACTGAAATGCATGTCTAATGTTATCTGTTCATTACTATTTTATTAATCAAAGCTATCATTAGCTAGACTTTACTGACAGCATGCTGCCAAGAGGTGGATTCTACTAACGGAAGAACGGGCTAGAGGGAAAAATGCAGAGGAACATAATATATCCAATGCTACATTAGATAAATACAGAACTGCAGATACAGTATTTTCTGACAGACATGTAAAGGCAGCTATTGAACCTGATCTACCTTCAGTGAAAAAGCAACAAGTGGAATATAGGAAAGTTGGTGGTGTTTTGTTTTGGTTTTAAATGCGCAACAACAATGAAAGGGCACTATCCTTGCCTGTAAAACAAATTAAATTACAAAGAGACACACAAAAGTATATAGGGAGGAGGAAAAAACAAGTTTTTCCAAAAATTAAATTTTTGACTGCTTCCAAAAAAAACCCACTGCATTGTATCTTAAGTCACAGTTTGTAACTACATTTCTGAGAGCTTCCTCAATCTGTGCAACAAATGAACATAACTAAAATGAGAAAAGCATTACCTTCTTCCCTGTCAAAAAAATCCAATGTTAAGAAAACTCACCTTTTACTGTGGATGGAGTCTGATCTTTCAGAAATAAGACCTTACTACCATGATACACAGCTGCAGCGTTTATCAGCACAGGTTTGTTTCAATTATTTTATTAACAGCTCTAACCTCAGAGTCCCACCCACTCATGTTTGTTGCCTCCATTTCCTGTCTTTGCAGAAATTTCAAAGAAAAAATTACCACACTGCAGCACCGAACTTCTCAGTGCTGTGGCTTTTTGATACTAGTTCTCTTGCCAACACTTCTAAATCTAACAATAAGTTATTTTTTTATTAACATTTAAGATATTTTGTGAAATATTCCTGCAAATTTCTCCTGTATCACTAATTCCTTACATTATTCAAATAACTTTCTCATGCCAGAGTGCAGCTGAGAAGATGGGAGGGGGGAAGTAAGCTGTAAAAAAAAACTTTTGACATGCTTTGATAAACTTAGAAATTCTAAATTCCACATTTTTCTGCTCAGTCTGGATGTTTCCATTGCACGCCAGCACAGGGCACTGCTAGTTAACAGAGTAAGCTATTTTCAGATTTAATTTTTGATCTACCTGCAGAGACATTCCTAAAAAAATTGGAAGAAGCCCTATCTGAGTAGGGACAGAGACTGAAAACTTTACCTGCCCCAAAAATCAAGAACAGTCTTATGAGCTGCGATAGTACATCAAATACAAAAAATGAGTAGCAGAAATCAAATTACATAATGCAACTGAAAAAAAGCATGACAAACTGTATTAGCTCAGCTACAGTACACAAAAGCTTTTGAAGACAGAATTTGTTTTGTCTCCCATAGCTGATGTGCTAAATTCCCACAGGAGCTGGGAAAGAAAGAGGGTATTGTTTGGGAATACAGGTGGGAATCTTTTAAATCATTTCTGTCCCAAAAAGAAATATAACCTGGAGCCACACCCATACTTTGTATTTTGACAAGGAGTACAGGGATGAGTTTCTCAGCAAAACTGGCAACTACTGCTTCAGACCAAGAGACTGAAATTGTCTACAAATCTGCAGATACACCACAAATGACATATGCATTTTAAAGCAACTGAGGAATTATTTAATTAACCTGAATAAATGCATGGTTGAAGCAAGACTGGATTTTTGGAAACAGATTGCAGCTTAATGACAGGGAGTTTGCAAATACAAATGACTGACTGAGATACCCACTCACTATCACACAATGCACATAAACTACCTTCTCTCAGCTCCAGTACACACCATCAGAACTAAACAGAATTAGAGTATTTTGCAAGGACTTTAAGAGAGAACATTACTCTAAGAAATCTCTCAGTTCATGACTTGATTGAACTTTTTTCGCTTTTATTATCTACTTTCACTTTTATCACGCTCCTGGGAATTCTTACAGGTTTTCTTGCGTTGTGAATATCCTGTAACAAATGAGGCCAAGAGAATAGCTGTAATGAAGATTGCAGGAGCGGGGGGGCAGAATCTAAATAACTGCAGCAACAGTCTTCTAAATGCTGAAGTTACTGCTGCATGAAGATTAAGAAAACAGCATCTACAAAATGTATCAAATTTATTACAAACGATCTCCTTCACAGTAATGGATTCTTTTTTTTTAAAATTAATTTTAAATGTTTTTATGATTTGGAAAAAAAAAATAATCCATGAATACTACTTCAACTAATTTTAAAGTAAAATCCTGAGGACAAACAACTAAGCCTGCTAATTGTGGGTTATAACTGCTTGTTTTATTCAAATGGCTCTTACGAAGTTTTATTTCCACGTCTTGTGCTCTGTAACTGTGTTCTACTCAGTGTGCAAAGGCTAGATAATCATTATTTGTGGCAATCACCATTTCCCAACTTAAATCACTCAAATAACATCTCAGTGTAACTATCAGTGTTATTTTCTTACAATGAATAGTTCAAAAGTTTGCTTAGACAGTATTAGCTCAAATAAGGCAGTTTCTAGTTAGATATTGATGAGAAAACAGAGTGCAAATCTGGATAGCTCTAGAAAAAAAAACCTGAAAATGTATTTTTTTAACTGATCTTGAACAAATCTTCTGATGTGGTGTAATAATAAAAGCAACAGTAATTATTTAAATTTTTTTATGTGTCCACTTAATTCTCAAGAAAGACCTGACCGTAATACTAGCACACTCCTGGTTTCATAGCAAAAGGCAACCAATACCCAGCAGAACTTTCAAAAGCAACCGAAACAAGCCCACTGCTTGACAGCTTAAAAAGCTGTTCAACAGCACAATGACTTTGTCCGAGAAAGACACACTGAGAAAGGCAGGTTCCTGGAACAAAAACCACATTATACCTTAAAACCTTAAAAAGCAAAATTTATCCTCTGTATGAGTACAAAAGAGCTAACATCTACTCAGTACTTCAACTTGAAATGTAAATGTTTAGAAGACAAGGAATTAAAGATAATGTTCTTACATTAAGCTTCTTGAACCACATGGTGTTCTAGAAATGTCTTGTATTTCAAGTTTTTTCACCCTTGAAAATACTAAAAGTCTTTAAAATGCATTAATTGCACACTGTGATGGGAAGGATAGAGGAAGAAACCAATGATCTCTTAAAAGCCTTTCGAGGTGTATTTGTTACAATAGGCCATTAATTTCAGTTCACTGTCGTACGCATACGTACTTCAGACATTCATCAGTCATTAACATTACTAAATAACTCAAAAGATGAGGAGGAATGCTGTATTCCTTAATCTAAAAGCAACAGTGGAAAACAAAATTACTGAGGACAGAAGAGCCAAATATTTTATTAACTAAAAAAAGCCAAAGACTTGAGAAAACATCAGAGAAATTCTAGCTATGGCTTTCACTTTTATCCAGAGAATATATTACAAAATACAAGTGACCCCAGCACCACTTGTTTAGTTTTGACTCAAAGGGAAGAGTGCCATCTACTGAATAAGAGTTTCTAAAATTATAAATATACTCCTCAAAACCAAGTATCGTCTCTCCTCCACCCTACTTACTTGTGGGGAATTGCCAAGTTCAGAGTGCAATGTGAAAAATAGTTTTTAACTGACTCGTAACTGTCATTTAAATAAATAAAACTCAGTTGTCACAGTGTTGAGTCTTCCAAGTACTAAAAAACTTGTCCCAAGTAAAAATCTAACCAGACTCCCAAAGTAAATTAAATAGAGTAAAAAATAATTCTATAGCACACAGAACAAATTGGTCTTACAAAAATCTACCTGTTGAACAAACATGTCACAGCACTTCTGCCCCCAAATCCTTCTCATATGGAGCTGGGTATCTACGGTGTGCCCAGCTAAAAACTCAAATTGTATTATATTATATTATATTGCACAGGGCGAAAGAAGGGGAGGGCAGGAAATCAAGGCAGAATTCACCAATGCTCTGAAAAACAGTGTTTGCAGGTACTTGAGAAATGTTGCTGAGCTTGTTAATAAAAGTCTGCGAGCAGAAATTTGAACTCCAGAGTTCCTTAAGGGGTAATTATGCTAGAAGACATTCCCACCTCAGTAAAAGTATAAGCATAAAAAAAAAAAAGCACAGAGCATACTCCCTGCTCATAAGGATTCTTTCTATTAATGATCAGAGCGGACTGCCAAACTGGTGCAGCAGCAGTTTTACTTTTGAATACTGTACCATAATTTCTGAATGAAGAACTAAATCTGCATCTTGACTGTTTTCTTGTAATCACTAAACCCCTCAGGAGTCTGAAACTCAGTTAAGTAATAGATTCCATGATTAGCCAACTACTCCGTGACAGAATGCCTTCAGAAGCAGCTCGCTTCCAGTCAGATTTTTCATATTAAAATACCTCATTGGGACTATAGTGATAAAGCTGTTCTCACCAAGACACTCACAGTACCTTATTCTAAAGGAAATGTGTGTACAGTTGTAGGTTGTTATCAGGGAAAAAACATAACCATTAATTCAGTATTTTGATGGAATAGTTGAAGAGACCATTCTTTGCAATAAAGACAGCACAAAGAGGACTAGTACATGTAACGGCAAACTACACAGACTGAAGGCTACTCTGAATTTTGAAAAATATATAAAGGGGGGAATATTAAAGAATACCCTTATTAATTTTTCAATCATAAGATTCTCCCCCATTGCTGGCTGCCCCAAAGAGACACCCTCCCCCTATCAAAATTAAACTCCTTAATATGGTTAAGTCAAGCCCCCAGCAACAGCCTACAACAGTTGCTCTTTATTTTACATTTTTGCAAACAGAAAACAATGATCCCAGAACATCTAAAAAGATACAAACAGAAGACTTACTGATCTTGTACAAATGTAAATTGCTTACCTTGCAAATACTCTGTCTTTGTTTGCTCTTTCTTTACCATACTGCACAGACTGGACCTCTGTTCTCCCACTGGAAAACAAAACAAAAACCAAAACAAAACCACTAAATGCAGCAAACTTAGGAGAACAATTTATTGCTTAAAATTGGAACCATCCTAACAAAAATCCCTAAATTCTATTTCCAGTCATGCTCAAGCAATTGCACTAGCTTCAGTACAGTATAACTTTAGAAAGCACTTGGTAGAAGTGTAGGTCTTCTTCCCCATTACAGCCTAACTGTAACAAAGACCAATTAAATTTAGGCATAATGTAAAGCTATAAAGCTTTCTCTTATCTTCCTTTTTCTTTTTATCCAAAGCAATAAGAAAGTTCTGCTCGGATCTTTGGATAACACTTAACACTATAATCTTTCCTGTTATAGCCACAGTCAAAAGTTACAGCATCTCCTCCATACTCCTCCTAAAGTATTCCCTGAATTGATGATAATAATTTAGTCGCTACTTAGTTCAGCAGAATATCATGAAGAAATTAGATGATAAGCACATCAGGACTCTGTTCTTCTATACAACCTGTCAAAAACAAGATTAGATCTTGGAACTTGCTGACTTTTCATGTAAGACCAGATGTCTTGTGTCAAATCTTCCCATTTATAACTTCATACCAAGGCACAGAGTCAGAAGATACATGTCCAAAAAAGATAAAACTCTGCTCTTTTCTGTCCCTTACAGGGACATTTACACTATGAAATCAAAGAACAATTAGCTATTTTCACATTTATATTACAGAACTACTGGATGTGTGACGGCTGAAGAAATGGGTCAACTGGAATCTCATGAAATTCAGTGAAGGGAACTGCAAAGACCCACACCTGGGGAGGAATAACCCCATGCACGGGCTGAGGGCCAACTGGCTGGAAAGCAGGTTTACTCAGCACTGGTGAGACCACATCTGGGGTGCTGTGTTATATTCCAGGGTTGCCCAAGTCAAGCAAAAGGCCACAAAGAAAATTAAGGGTCCGGAGCATCCACCATATGAGGAGAGGCTGAGAGAGCTGGGACTGTTCAGCCTCAGGAAGAGAAGGCTCAGGGGGATCAAATGAGTGTGTATAAATGGCTGAAGGGGGACATAAAAAGTACAGCCAGACTCTTCTCAAGGGAGCCCAGAGACAGGACAAGAGGCAATGGGCACAAACTGAAATGTGAGATACCCTACTTAAACAGAAGGGGAGAAAAACAACAAGACACCCACAAAACAAAAAAATTTTACTGTGAAGGTGGTCAAACACTGGATCAGGTTGCTCAGAGATGGCGCAGAGTCTCCATCTTTGGAGACGTTCGAAACCTGGCTGGACATGGTCCTAGGCAACCTGCGACAGTGGACGCTGTTTGAACAGGGCATTGGAATACACGGTGTCCAGAGCTGCCTTCCAACCTCTGCCATGCTGGGATTCTAAGAAATCTGTCTTTTCAAACCTGCTGCCTGCTAACTTCCTGGGGTTATGCATTTTTAACTCTGACAAGCAGTAAGCCATCTATATTTTCCTCTGTTCCTTTCCAATAACTCTAACATTGTACTTGCCTTTTTCTAACTGCTACTAATAATTGACTTAAAATTTTCAGAGAACTACAAAGCTCCAAGACAGTAATAGCTTATTTATAATTGATGTTCCTCCTCTCTTCTCTCCCTGTGTACATTATTTTCCATATTTGGACACTGAACTTGATCTAACATTTTATTGCCTACTCACCCCTCATTGCAACATACCACCGAAAATTTCTACAGTCAACTTCAGCTTTTACTACAAAAACCTGTATCACTTAAGTGTAACTTCCCTTTCTTTGTGAAGGGACCTACTTCTTTCCCATCTGGTTAAAACAGTTGCTAATGTACAATAAAACTCTTCATGTCTTGGCAATTTAACTTCTTTAATGAGTATTTGGTGAGGAATACTATTAGAACCACTTTGAAAATCCAAGGACAGTGTACAGAGGTCAGATTTTCATAGAATCATAGAATCATTTAGGTTGGAAAAGA